GCCCTGGCTCGGGGGGTGGTGGGGTAACCCCGGGGAGGTGCCGGCGCCTTAAGTGTTCGTCAGGAACGGGGAACGGGCGTTTTGGGTCGGTCGGCGCTGGAAGGGCCGGAGCGGGGGCTAGTTACCCGGAAAGCGGTGGTAGCAGTGCCCGTGGCTGTTAGCATGCTGCGCCCGGAGAGGTGAAAGAGCCTCCAGGGGCTGGGGCGTCCCTCCTTTGAGGGACAGACCCCGGGCCTCCCCGCTGACGGAGGCCGGAGCCCCGCTGAGGCAGCCCCGCTCCTCGCCGGGGCTGCGCTGCCGTCTCCCAGGCCCGCCGACGCCGACGCGAGGAGCTGCCGAGGACTGGGTCCTCTTCTGCCTTCGCTCAGGGGGTGACCTGTGAGGCCTCCATCCAAAGTGTGTCCCTTTTCGTTGAGATTGGGCCAGATAACTAAAGGTGCCAAAAATCTCAAATTTGGAGGCTTTTTGTGAACCTGGTGATAAACGGGCGGAGCTGTAGTCGCGGTTAGGATTAATTACTATAGAGACTTTTGAAATACATAGTGATTGTGCACTAACCGATTAACTCTCCTTTCTTCCCGGGCAGCTGTTGGCATCTGGCGAGCAGAAATCTCCACACCACGGTGAGGTTTCTGAAGAAAACTGGAACTGAGCACCGGTGGTTGGAGCGGCACTCGAAGGATCCTTTTGTCAAGGCAACGAAGCGGCAGCATTACCGTTGCCGAAGTGCCTTCAAATTACTGGAAATCGATGACAAGCTTCATATTCTTCGTCCAGGACTTTCTGTTCTTGACTGTGGAGCGGCGCCTGGTGCTTGGAGCCAGGTTGCTGTAGAGAGGGTCAACGCCTTAGGTACCGGTAAGTGCACATTTTTGGCAGGCAAGATGGGGATGATACTCGTCTTAAAGTGTGTGAGAAAACTCAGCTGTGATGGGGGTGGCCTGGGGAAGGGACATGGGTACTGGCAAACGCCAGAGTCGCTGATGGAAGCATGAAGGTGTGTGCCTACGTAGCAGTGAAAATCTTGATACGGTCCGAAGAAACCATATTTGTGAAGTAAAAACTTACCATGAGGTGCTATGTAGGCGTAACACAGTGTTCTAATTAGCTGTGTTGTGGGGAAGATCCCTTCATCCAGTTCTGAAATTTGTGTAGCCTCCAGCATGTAACTTGGCTTTTCTGTATTTTTATTTCTGTTCTTAAAAAATGGTAGTAACGACTATGTACAGTTTATGTGTTTTAAGCCATTAATATTTACAAGATAAGATATTATCATCTGTACCGTTGTCGAGGATTTCTGGACTGTCAGCCTTGAAAGAACAGGAGAAAACCAAGAAAAATACCCCTTGCTTATCCAAAGTAACTGAGTTTTCATGTCTTGAATGGATTAGCTTATAGCAAACCATCCATCCAGATGCACGCAGCACACTAAGGACAAGAAGACCAGACGTGGCAGGTGATACGTTTTTGTTTATTGGCTAGCATGTATATGCAAGTTGTTTGCAACCCTTATGAGTGTTCAGTATGTCATTCACTCTTATCTAGATCCTGCTGTCCCCATCGGCTTTGTCCTTGGCGTTGACCTCCTGCGGATTTCTCCTCTGGAAGGAGCAGTCTTCGTGTCGGAGGCTGACATTGCAGACCCAAGGACGCTGAGGGCGATTCAGAGTCTGCTTCCTGCAGAGAAGGTGGATGTTATCTTGAGTGACATGGCACCTAATGCGACAGGCATTAAAGAACTGGATCATCAGAAGCTGATCAATCTATGTTTAGGCCTTCTGAATCTGTCCCAAAGTATTTTAAAGCCAAAAGGAACGATGCTCTGTAAATTCTGGGATGGACATGAGTCCCGTCTTCTGCAAAACAGACTGAAGGAGCAGTTCCAGGACGTGAGAACTATAAAGCCTCAGGCCAGCCGGAAAGACTCCACTGAATCTTATTATTTGGCAAGACTGTACAAAGCGAAATGAAAGCTGAGAACCGCAGATTTTCAAACAGGTGATGAGACGTTGACTGGAAATCTGAATTTGGCGTGTGTTTAAAGAAGAATCCCAGCATTAAGACCCTGGGTAAATCTGCCACAATACGTATGAAGTACATCGTGCTTTTCAAATAAAAAAATGAACGGGAGTGGTGTCCTACTGAGTTTATCCACTAATTATACAAGCAGAGACATCCAATCTAGCTTCTCACCTGTGGAGAAAACAGTTGGGAATGGAGAGGAGTAATCTGAAAGGCAACCTCTGGGGCTGGAGTCATGGAAATGAAAATAAAACAGTGATTATATGAGTTTTTAATGTGTGCTTGAAAATCATTGCGCTACTAATGTTGTCATGTATGAGACTAACCACAAAGGTGGTTGTCAGAATGAGAGGGAACAGCGAGGGGAGCTTGAGCCAATTTATTGCCTCTTCATCTTTCTTAAAAGCTGGTGCAATTTATTAGCACGTGTAAACGTAGATAACGTTCTCGTGCATGTCAGAATCTGCATCGTCACGTCCGATCCGTAACGCAGCCGCTCGGGATACGTGACTGACTCTGGAGTATTTAGCCTGATGGCTCTGCTGCATTTGCTAAAGACGCAGGTTATATTTAGAAATTGCTACTTCACTGTACTCATAAATCCAGTAAATGAGAGTAGGGCAGGGTCATCGCTGCGGAGAAGCTCATTTCCCCTACGTTTTCAGTAATGTTTTATATTTGACCAATGATGTTTCTTAGGTGAAGTGACAAGATGTTCCTTGGATCCCAGACAGGGAGAATTACCGATTGAATTGCAAGAATTTTGTTTGCAAAAATAAATTTAGCCACTGCCTTATCTGGAAGTGACAACTTTTACATTAAATAGCGGTTTTATCAGGCCGACTGTGGCATGAGTTATAAGAGGGGCTGGTAGCACTCTCTGTTTTCAGGGCTTCCAGAGCTTTCTGGTTACAAACACCTCATGTGGAATTGCTTACAGATTTATCAGATTTTACCTGCTTTGAAACCTCCGGATCTCGGTACGGAGCGGTGTGCACGAAAGCCTTATCCCCAGCGCGAACTGGGGAGCTGGGCGTCGCCTCGTCTACCTTTGGGGAGCCAAAAAAAAATGATGTCGGTCCGCTCTTTGAGAAACTTTATTGCCGGCGGTTCGCAGCAGGAACAGTCGCTCCCCGGGATGCGGTGGCGGTGGGGCGGGACGGACCCGGCGGCTCGGCGGTTTCGGGGGGGGTGGGTTGCGAAGGGGCGGCGCGGGGGGGCTGAGCTGGAACCTCCTTCGCACCGAGGCGGGGCGTTACGGTACGGCGCGGAGGCCGCGGCGGG